AAGATGTTCACCATGTTGGACCGCCCCTTGAGCGAACTCCCATCTTGGTGACCAAGTTGCCAAATGAACAACCATCCCTCATTGCCAGCCTGCTGCGGCCCTGGTGGTGCTGGAACTGTATCCACCGTGGCATTGTGCACCCAAGTAGGGTCAACCAGCCTGGTTCTCTGATACAGCCCTTCCAAGCAGTTCTTCAGCAGGTCCGGCTCCGGGTACTTCGTCTGGATGAAATCAATCACATGCACGCAATCAAAGCTCTCTGGGTCCAAGGAGCCACCGACAGCTGTCAAGATGCTCTTCTTCACCTTCTCCACAACTGCCTTGGACTCGGCACTTTCCACCCAACTTGCGTGGGCCATGCTACCCACGACAGGGAACAGGGGGACAGTGAACAGTCGACAGTGAACCGTCGACAGCTGCGGAGAACAGGTCAACATCAACTTCTGACTCTGCAAGGAATGCACAAAAACACAACAGCACAATTGAACTGCTCATGAGCCATTTGTCACTCCTCTCTGTTCCGGCGGGGCAACCGATGAAACGTCGTCAGCAGCTGCCAGGAAGTGTCAGGCAAATGCTCATAGTACATGTTCCTTGTCAATGGCACTTCAGCTCGCTCTGGTGCCGCTGCAGCTAACCACTTCAGCGGGGGTGGGTCCTCATCTACCCCAGCAACGCGGCCCGCTTGGAGACGTTCACAACGTTCACGCAATAGTGGAACCTGGGCATTCAAGGGCATGGCAAATCAACATAAGCCCTCGGAAAAAAAATTGGATTTAAGACAAAGCCAATGCATTTCAGAGCTGAGCAACAGCACGTAGAAAATCATGCGGCAGGGACTCAAGTGTGTCGGCCAAGTTCTCCAGTTTCTTGAGTAACTTCTCATTGTCGGCCCCTTCTGCGAGAATCTTGAAGTCACAGGGAACAGGCGACAGTGAACAGTCTTCCACTCTCCTTCGCGGGAGGGCCAGGACAGGAGCATGAAAAGAAGTTGCATGCATGCGTCCTTTCGTGAGAGCGAACACATCATGGTCATGCTCTTCCACACCACGCCGGCTGGGAGGCAGCTGCTCCAGTTCTCTGGGCGTCAAGTGACAGCGGCATTTGTAAACAAATGAGTGGGCCGCCAGCCTTCCAGCCCTGGAAACAAAGCAGTTGCGAAGCGTCACTTTGAGTTGCCCAAGCCAGGTGTCAAAGTCCCTGATGTGCACCACTTGCTCCACATACAGCGCCTCCCCCTTTCCAGACACAAACCCTTCCATCTTTTCCTTCAAAAGGGCCACCAACTCATCTGGCACCTCAAACCGGCAAGGACGGAGGACAGTGGACAGGATCAAGGAAAAGAAGTGATCCACATCTTCATGGGTGTGTCCCACTGTCAGAAAGTTAAAGGTGCACGTCAAAAACTTGCCCTCTGAAACCAAATGGGCGAGGAACAATGACACCAGCGAGTTTTTGTTCTGGGCCGTGGTGTTGTCCGCCTGGACGACAAGGTGTCGCGGGAATGCCCGGCCCGTCTTCTCAGCAATCTCTGCCACATTGTCCAGGCTGCGGGCAATCAACTCACAAAAAGATGCTGCCCCATGGTGCAAAGCTTCATCTGCAATGAAAACATTGGTGCACCAGCCATGACAGAGAACAGCAGACAGTATGACTCGTGGCCTCTGCAGGTTTTCCAATGAATGCGGCTTGCGTGCAAACTTGTACTGAGGCCACGCTGTCTTGACTTGATCCATGGAATCTATGATGATGGTCAGGACGTCCAACGACGCCCGTGATGCCCACCGCAGGCTCCAGTAGATGAGGCGATCATGGTATTGGGCACGAAGATGTTCACGCCAGTCTCGTGCAAGTGCCATCTTCTCCTTGGTGCTGCCCTTCTTTCCTTACTTGTGATCACAAACAACATGGGCACAAAGGAACTGAAAACTCAAAGAAAGTGCAATGCTGAGCTAAGCCTCCATGTAACTTCTCACGGAGACAGTGGCATGTGTTGCACTCTTTGTGCTGCGAAACCTTTCGGAACTTCAGCACAGACGACCACTTGTCCCACCATACTCTCCAGAATGTCGACCATGACGGCGTTTGAATTGCCTGGTTATGGCCAGCCATTCCTTGCACAGCTTCACACCAGGCCTGAAACTGCCAAAACAAAGTCATGAGCTTGCCTGGTGGCAAATGCCGGACTGGAACAGTGGACAGATCGACAGTGGACAGTGCCATGATGTTTTGAACAATGGCTGCTTCAGGTGTCCACGAGAAGATCTCTGACTCAGTGGATATTTGCCGCATGTATACAGGAGCATCGCAGTCTTGCTCACCCGTGCTTGCAGAGATATTGTCATCCACATGCTGCACTTGCAAAGTTTCAGGCAAATCCTCTGCACTTTGGTGGTAGAGCTCCAAAAAAAACATGCATGTCAAATTCCGCTGCAAGGGAGGCCTTGTAGCCACTGGCTCACAATTGTTGATTTTGCGGCGCTGATCAATTACCCCTTGCAGCTTCTTTGCCATGGCCTTGTTTCCAACACCCAGCAGGGAGCACAAACCTGGCAAACACACTTGATGCCCTGCCAAATACCAGGTTGTGCGGTGAGCCAGCTGCTCTCCATCAGAGTCATCCAGGCAATGATTCTCAGCACTGCTCTCCCATTGTGCATTCAAGAAGTGGTGCTGGGACTCATCTGACATTGAGTGCCACAATTGGCAAACCTCCAGAATCTTTGCTGGTTTGAAGACGCCATAGCAATTGCTCTTACAACTGCAAGCCCCCAGCAACACTCTGGCAATTCGCTCTGGATCCAGTGCCTTCTTCTTGTACTCTGTCATGACACGCTCCTCCTCGTCCATTGTAGCCACCAATGACAGCATGGGGACATCCAAGGAGACATGATGCCGAACAGTTTTGCCGGCTTTCTGAGTTACTGGCCTCGCATCCTGTGACATGTTAATGTCTGGCTTTTTCCAAGAAGGGGAAGAAGAGGAACAGGAAACAGTGGACAGCAAACTGTAACTGTCAGCTCCGCACTGCTTCCAGTCAGTAGTTTTCCTCTTCTTTAAAGGACCAGGCTCAGGCTCTGCCACTCCCCCGCAGCAGGCTTCTTCCATCCCAACACAAGCTCAGCTCCTGCATGAAGCTGCTTCCAGGTTGACTTGTCATTGTAGTCGTCTTGCCATTGAACACATGGCTTCTTCCACGACATTTGCAGCAAAATTTGAGCCAAAGCTTTGCCAGCACCTGAATCAGCAGCCGGACAACAAATGACAAATGTCATTAGCAGGGCTCACAAATGACAAAAGTCATTAATTTGGCTGGCTCCTAAGGTAGTACTAGGAGCCGGCGGAGCAAATGACAAAAGTCATTATAAAGTCATTATCTCCTCTCAGAGGCCGGGGCTGACTGCCTTCATATTCATTCTGGGGCCTGGCTTCTAGGGGGTGGCTAGGAGCCGGCCGCAAGGGGGATTATAATGACAAGCCGGGCCCCAGAAAGTATGTGAAGGGTCGCCCACCTGGCTTGTCATTATAATCTCCCATGCGGCTGGCTTCTAGGGGCTAGGTAGGGGCCGGGCCCAGATTTGGATGTGAAGGTTCTCCGGCCTGGCTGCTGGTAACCAAAACAGCCGCCAGCGGTTCTCCAGCCTGGCTGCTGATAGCCAAAAACACAGGTGTGCACGTGTCTGGGTGGGTGGGGCACGAGGCCGAGCAGCAGGCAGGATGATGGCCTCAGAAGAAAAGCAAACCTAGAATGATGTGTTAGCAGGCCTCCCAATCTCGTGCCGACATGCCAGTGCAATTGCAATTTGACCCCCCACCATCACGTGTCAATCGGCTTTATATGGCTGAGCGTCCTTATAAATTAAGCGTCCTTATAAATATGCCTTTTGGAAGCATCGCTTCTGCTTCCTGATTTCCGGTGTCGTGATCAAAGTTTCTTCGTGACTTTTGTTGATTTTCGCGTGGTATAAGCAACATTTTGCTCATGATGCTTCAATGATTATGATGATTTCAATCAGAATCAATGTGGAATCCTCAACAATTACTAGAGAATGTATTCGAATTAGTAGTATTAGACATGCTCGCTGATATGTCGCTCGCATATTTTGATGTTGCTGCAGCTGTCTGGCCAAATGTCCGAAGACATCGGGCGGAAAGCTCGGCACATAGCGGCCCAGTTGCACTTGAGTTGTGTGCGCCCTGATCAAGGCGAAAGGGTTCGCCGGACAGGTCCGCTAGCTCCAAAGAGTTCCCTGAAATACCTGTGTTGCAGACAAGCCTTTGCGTGGTGTGGTGCTGTTCATGAGCCCCGGTACTTTACCAAAACAGCTGTGAACCGTGCGCTAGAACGCCTGCTCGACCACTACAAAGTAGAGGTGCCGTTGTGTCAGGCTGACGGGCTCACTCGAGCAGACTGGCTGAAGAGGCAATCCAAAACGATACAGCATCTTTGCAAACGGTCTGTTAAGAACTCGTTGGTGCCACCACGTGGCAAAGAAGCCCTTGCAGCCATGGATGATGCGGAAACTCAGCCGTGGAGCACGGAGGACGAATACCGACATGCATATATAGGATCAGTGCATGACATATACTGCTGCAGGAAAGGGCTGCAGCGCCGGCTGCGCATGATGGTGATCCTCCTCCAGCCACCCGAGAGCAATATACATGACTGCTTCATGCAAGAAGTGTCTGCATGCGACCAGATGTAAAAATCAGGTCAGACTTCATCGCAAAAGCGCACTGAAGCGCAAGGCCCAGTACATGCATGCACCCATTTTCTAGCATGTATACTTAATTATGTACCAGCACTTATCTACATACGGTGCTACAAACGAGAAAAAAATAGACGACACAGCAAACACGAACTTAGTTCGGACACGAGAGGGAAATTCGAAAGGAGTGCGTATACATACGTGTAGAGATCCAGACATAGCTTGCATCGCCTCTAAATTAGGCCCTAAAGCCTGGCCTGCAAACGCTAATCGGAAACCCTGAAGCAGGTCATGTGTGCATCCAGTCTTGTGCCTGCAGTCAGTTGCACGCGGTCTGAACTTGTAACGTCATTTTTGCACCGTCGCCCAAATGATCCATGAACGCAGGCTGCGTCGGCTGAATCGGTGGCTACCTTGGATGCGCCCACGAGGATCTGGGGTGACTGGAAGGATGAGGATGAGGATGAGGATGCTGAGTACAAGGCCAGTTGTGCTACAGCCTATATAGATCACCAATGAAAACTACACTGTTATGTGCACGCAGGCTCTTTGCGATGATTCATGGATGTCTGGGCACCTGCAGGCTTGCATTCGTATACACATGTACATATACCATGCATGCGCCCACATGGTTGATAGTCATTTCTGCGATTCTCAAGGACTCCGGGGACGATGCACTGCACCATCCTGCAGGCAGGTTTTTATTGCGGTGATCTTTTAATTCGTGCGTATAATCTGATGTGTGGATCACACGCAGGGGAATGGGGTGACGATGATGGCCAAGCCGAGTCTTGGGTCGCAGACGCTGGCCCAGAGAATCCATGGTCTACCGGTGATCAGGATGACACGTGGGGCGAGGCTTCGGCAGATTCAGATCCCAAGAATCCGTGGCCTGCTGATGAAGGCTGGGATAACACGTGGGTCGAGGCGTCTGCAGATTCAGATCCCCAGAATCCGTGGCCTGCTGCCAGACAGCAGTGAGTTGCAGAGCAGTTCGGGATGTAGAGCCGATCGATGGTACGGGTTTATGACAGATCAGTACGTAGCAGCCGAATTGAGGCTGAGAAGAAGCCAGCTTTGCATCGACGAATCTCCTGGCGTGATGAGAATGGATCCTCGTTGGAGTTGCCAGCTGCCAAACAGCAATGAATTGTCAATATTGCAGTAGATTGATGGTTTTCCAATTCAATATAGATCAGCAGCAGTACTAGCACTGCCGAAGGATGTGGCTATGGATCCTGGCCAGACAGAGCCGCTCGGAAATTTTGCTGTTGTCAGTGCGACGACACATATACTGCATGATCTAAGGGAGTGGCCGATGGATGAGAACGAGCACCCAGATGATCAGGCCACCAACCGCATATAGCATTAATTAGCAACATGTCGGTGTCGATCTGCAGTTACATGAATTCGAGCAGGAGCATCTGACCAGCAGGCATCGGCACAGCAGCAGTAGCAGTAGTGGTGGTAAGGATTTCCCGGACCCCACCAACGACGAGATCTACGAGAGCTTCATCCAGACCATGGGCATCGACTTGGACGAGGAGGCTCGACTGCACACGCCTAGCTTCCGCACAAACAATACAATTGCCGTTGATTTGGTGCAGGAGCAACCTGAGCAACCCGACGAAGGGCAGAATGATGATTTGGTCAATCACGACATGCAGGAGGCCAAGGAGGCGCATGCCACCGAATCGAGTGATCCACATGCATATGCGCATGCAGGTTAGCTGTGTGTATATATATATATATACAGGTTTGTATATGGGTACATGTATCATGTCGATGTACATATAGGCAGCGAAAGACAAGACCCGAGTCACGACGGAGCCAGAGTCTGGTCAGCTTTAAACATGGATGTCTTTATATGGAAGGGAGTGACAGACATAGACGAGAGAGAGAGAGAGAGAGAGAGAGAGAGAGAGAGAGAGAGAGAGAGAGAGAGAGAGAGAGAGAGAGAGAGAGAGAGAGAGAGAGAGAGAGAGAGAGAGAGACAGACAAACAGAGAGTCCAAGGAGCCGGTACATCCATTTCCTGGCAAGCCGGATCGTTCGACCCGGCCGATCAATCCCCATGCCCAGAGGCTGGTGCTGGCCAGCAAGCAGCCAGTGGAGTACCAGAAGCCCAAAGGAAGCCCAAAGAGCAAAGCAAAGGCCAAAGCAAAGGCGAAAGCAAAGACCACCCCCAAGAAACCCAAGGCAAAGGCCAAAGCAAGGACCAGACAAGATGGAAGCGTAACCCCCTACACAGCCGCTTTTGAGTCGTTCAAGGAACAGCCACCAAGCCGCACATAGATGCTCAAACGATGTCGCTTCAATTCGTTTCGTGGATTCGCAATCATGGTGTAGCTTCGAGAATGAGGCTTTTGGAGCTCGAGCCGGACCTCAAGTTGAAGAACGTGAGGGATCGGTGCCTTGTCGGCTTATACACGTGTGCTGCCATTCCTGCTCTTGTGTGCTTAGACGAAGCATCCAAGGTGGTGGGTATCGGATGAGCGTACGACTGTCCTCTCCACCATTCCGGTTAAGGAGCAGAAGAAGCGCCGCTATATCTAGAATCTAGATGAGATGACGAGTTGCATGGGGCAGGCTTAAATTTTGATGCACCGGTAATCCGTCGATCTTCAATCCTGCTTTGGCATTGCAAGTAACACTCTTTCATTGCGACTTCAAGCCGCCTTTGTGTCGTCACATTTTGTTCCGGTCACGAACGACTGCGAGATATCTTTCAAGTAGATCACACAGCTGCCGGGGGTTAGGCGAAACAGTGAGCGACTCCGATATAATGTCATGATCCTTCGAATCAGGTGCCGATCGGCATGCATCCAAAGCTTGTGTCCATGAATGCGTGCATGCAGCATGTATATTTCGCAAGCTAGATGCACCAGCCTGCCTGCATGTGTGCACGGTCTCCTGTGTAACTAGGTCAGGCAAGCTTTCTGAAACTAGCACCAGTGCCCAGCTTTACATTGAAAACGTTTCAAGTCGGCAAGCATGCGTTACTCCGTGCTGGCCTACATCCTCACGAGCCTGAATGCGAGCCAGATACCCAGCTGCTCCACATCAGCACTGCAAGTCGATGCCAGTTATGTACGAACCTGCATGCAGGTTTGCCATTGGAGACAGACAAGTATGTCCACCTGGTGGAGTTTTTTGCAGGCCTCTTGCCTGCATGCGACACAATTAAACCAAACAAACCCTTTCAACTACGCAGTCCGGCACATATATGTGAGGAACTGGAACACTGGCGGCTGCTGCTAAATCATTGGGCCTGGCTTCGAGGACTTACGATGTGTCGTTTCGGCATTATACAAGCTGCGGTTGAGTTGTTCGAAACAAGTGTGCTCATTGCACACACGTGCCCGAGGTGATCGAATCCCCCCAAATGGATCTCTGCAGTGGCTTCGGCTTTCTACTGGCATTGAACCTCGACGCTCAGATTCCAAAGCTTACGGAAAATACAGCAAAAGACCGAACACCGAAACTATATATCTAAGGTTCGCCACACCATCGAAGGCGGCCTCGTCTTCTTTGCGATTCCCTGCTCGAGTTGGGTCTTCATGTGGTAACCTCAGATCACGCAGTCTTAACTCTACATACAGGGGCGGCCTTTGTTTAGAGAATACAGCTACATGCGGGTTTGGGCTAATGGAACAGTTAGTTCCTTGGGTTAAGAAGTCGGAGCTTTACTGTATGTGTGTACGAATTAGGTCTCAATTCTGGTGCTTCCTGACTTTTGTGGGGCTTTGAAGGGGTCGTGTCGGTTCTTGGAAGACTGTGACATTAGAGGGTTGTACTCTGGGATTGTTGCAGGGCTTTGGGCTTGTAACAGTGTCGCAAGTATGTTCTGACACCTTCTGCTGTTTTCCGGGGTGTTGATTATGTAGGGCGCACTCACCGCACCAGGTTTCGGGTTTATAGGGCTGCAGGAGTTTAGGGGTGCAGGGGTTTAGGGTTGGGTGCACGGGTTTATAGGGGTCCCGGGCTTCGGGTTTAGATCTTATAGGATCCTGTAGGGTTCAATTACTGCAGGACTTTGTATCAAGGCTTCGAGTCAGAATAAGGGTTATGCAGGCCCTGGCTAGTGTATCTTTTGATTGAGTTCATTGTTGGGCTTGAGGGTGTGTCTGTGTGTGTGCATGATAGTGAAAATTCAAGGGTGTGGCAACACGTGCCACATAGGCTTGGGTCACATGACGGCAAACACATGCTATCTGAGTTTCCAATCAGGGCTATTGGGAAAAGCGGTGGCTGTATGGGGTTTACATGGTTGACGTATAGGATATTGGGCATCATCTGGTACAACAGCGACGCTGTTGGGGTTCTGTTTTTAGTTCATATGCTCTTCGGAGAAGTATGCATGTGCATAGAACATCGAAAACGTCAGATTCTGAGGTCCTATCTAGGATTTGGGTTGTTCGAGACTACACATACACCGATCAGATCTATAGCTGCGATTGTTTGGGTTAAGTGTGTAGGGTTTCCGATAGATAGTGTGCATGTTCAAATGCAACCACCGAAATCCTTCCATCTTGAAACAGCCGGGAACCCCGAAGTCAATATAATGAACGGTAATTGAAGGTCCTAGACATGTGCGATTTTAGCAGCACTCGGCAGCTCACAAAGCAACATCGTACTGCGGGACACTCGAGCTACCATTATGCACTGTACGCAACGCTATTGCAGCTACGTGCAACACTGTGCGCAACGCTATCGCTACCGCCGCAGAGTTACCTGAGCACGCATGTAACGTTTGGCCGGCTGCTGCTATCTGACTTAAGAACGAAGGAGGCTACGTGATGAGCTCATTCTGTGACGAGCTCCGGCAATAAAGCCGCACAGAGGGTGCTGATTCATTAGCTCATGGCCATGTGCCGCGGTTGTGCGATCTGTCTTGATGAAACGATGAGGCATATGACGACTTCTTTTTTGGGGGGTCTACGAGTAGTATATACTTCGGGGCATTGGGATGTGGGTGCACGGACGACTATAGCTGAGTGCATGGCCGGTCAACACTTTGCAGTATCTTGAATGATTCCCAGGTTGCCAAGAGATCGTCCATGCTATGTTCTTCATGGTTGCCGCGGGATCTGCGAGTCATGACGGACGACTTATGATTTATACGTGCAACACTGCTAGTGCAGCAAAGCCCTCAGCAAATCAAGATGGGAAGACCGATTCCGCTTTGCATGGCATTGGTTGAGCGATCTGCGAAGACAAACAAGGACGGACGAAGGCGACTGATCATGAACGCATCCGGATTGCGATTTGAAAACATGTTCTTAATTGCTGCGTCACTGCATGGCAAGCATGAAGATCTCGCGATTCCGAGCATGTTCCATGGCCGACTGCATGGCATGACCGCATTCGCTTGCCGTTGAATGTCGCATGAGGCGCATATATTGTCACTCGCGCGACCACAACACATATTTTTGTACAGCGCGTCCATCTTGGAGAGAGACATAAATACACCGAAGCAAAACAAGTAGCACCGTACCGGCATGCATGTATAACTCCTTAATCCTCGTATATAAATATGTACACACATACAGAAGACCTATTTGTACATACCCACACCCTCCTATTACCCGCAGTAAGAAGAATAGTGGTTGCACCATGCATGTGTGTATGTGTACATATATTGCTACATTGATGTCTACACATGCATGCATGGACCAGCACATTACATATATCGCACATAATATTAGTTAACACACATAGATACATATACATAGGCACACAATTGTGCGCCTATGTATATGTATTTATGTGTGTAAAGAAACATCCACCTAATGCTTGAGTCTCTCTGCATGGTCGGCCAAGGTCGCGGGGATCATCGAGAAGATCTTGGCTGCGACCGCAAGGAGCAGTGTCGGCAGCATCATAGCAGTATCTCAGCTGGGGGATTTCGTGTATCGACATCTGCAGGACTCGGCAACAAATGTGCTATGGGCAACCGCCTCTGTCGCCGAATGTGCTATTTGCTCCTAAGCAGCATCATATAGTAGCACCGAATTAAGAACCGATCCACAATACTGCGATCCTCATCTAAGGCTGAAATAACTTTGTCATTGAGAACCCCAGTTCGACCTTGCTTTGGGGATATGTGCCTCTCCGGGAGCTTTGGCAAAGAATGTTGCGCTCCATAGTAGCATTTCAATCAGTTCGAATTGTACCAGCTGTGGTGGATCATTTTGTGTCTGCAACCGAGAAGCTGCTTCGGAAGATGAAGTTCATGAAAGTGACCATACACCTGGGATGCTATGGGTCGGCAACCCCTAAGGCTGCCCCCAGGACGGCAAATGTGTTTGAGAGGTTCGGGATTCAGCTGTGTGCCACATCAAGACAATTTGTCTTATCTGAGGTCACGTTGGTTGGAAATTGGGAAGGGCTCCGACAGCTTCGGAGGACCTTGCACAAAGAACGCAGGCTGGGCACGAAACCTCCACTTTGACGAACCCAGTAGATCCTATCGGGTACCTGAAGTCTAAGCCATATGTCAGGTGCCATCTGCGACGAGTTCGAAGCTTCCTGAAAATCCAGAATGTAGTCCGTTGGAAGAATGCCAAGGGGCAGTCCAAGTGCGCCGGTGTCTCATGCAGAATATCAGGTCCTTGCAATATATGGCTTTGAAGCTCTAGCCGTGTCTTAATGATAGCACACTTGGGCTGGCCTTATAAGGCCGGAGGTCGAGATCTCGAAGCTTCGAAAGCCTATCCTGCTGGCTTTGGCATCGAGGCTCCGGTGGCGATGATGATTTGGGGGGTCTATAGCTCTGCACTGGCGATCT